TTCATTCATTTTTTTTTTTTTTTAATTTTAATTTTATAATCATGTATCCTATAAAATATGTATTTTTTTCAATATTGTTTGTATTGTAATTATAACTATTATTAAAAAATATAATAATCAAGTTATAATACAATTTTCTATTGTTCTAAAAAAAATTTGTTGAAAATATTATATGCAATAATTATTATTACATATTTTTTCGACTTTTATAATTATCCAAGTTTACTATTATCAATACCACTTAACAAATTACAAGAGCTAATATCTCCAAATAAAATTCTATACTTCAACTACTAGTATCTTTCAGAACCATAGGAAATTAAAAACTTTTCCTATTAGGTTAGTTAAATTAGATTGTAAAATTGATTAGTAACTTATATATCTAAACAAATAATACTATCCGTGTATTCATAATACTACTAGATATACTATTCCAAAAATGAATGGAAGATGTACGAATTCAAAAAAATAAATTGAAATCACTACATTTGAGTAAGTAAAAAACATTTTATTTCTATATTTACCACATTTGTGTTACGTGGGGTGGCAACTACAAAATTTTTATCTCTGATATGGTATATCGTTAAATATTAATACCAAACGGAAGGATATAAGAAGATTTTAATGTTAATAATATTAAATAAGACATTTAGTTATACCGAGTAAAATTTAACGTAAATTTAAATCAAATTTTTATATAATCTATTTTACTTTACGATGGCCTGGAAGCAATAAATGAAGCAAACAATAAAACAAGTCTACTTTGATTAGATATACATAAAAAATCAAAGGATTGTTGATATTAATTTTAGAAAATAATAGAAAAAGTTACGTAATAATAATCAAATATAAATATTGTACTTAATAGTATTTTATACCATTACAGTTTATTTTTCATTGATAATAAAAGTAAGATGAAAATATTTCAATAATAATTATAACTATCTATTTAGTATTTTTTAATTACAACGAAATAACATAATAATCGAAAAATTGGCATATTTACTTATTTCTTATCAAAATTGAATAATAATCTATAAATAACAAAAAAAAAAAAATGTTGAAATATTTAAAAAAAATTATATTATTCCTATTTAATACTATTATAAATATTTGGTGAAGATTTTAAATATCCACTGTTGTACTGAAATTGCTTTTTGAATTTAAACAAATAAACAGATTTTTTCGAGCTATTAATACCTAAGCATTTCCGTTATTCCGTAATTTTTTTTTATTTACCAAATTTATTTCAAAAAATACTCAACACTTTTTACTCTTAACCTCTTAAAATACTAACTAGATTCAATTCGTTACCAAAAACCAATCTTAAAGTTAAAAATTGAAACCTATTTATTCTTCTAAAAACTGATCAGTTGCATAAAAAAAACCTTAAGTACACACACACGTAATTGTAAAACCAATAGATTCACATTACTCAGTTCAAAATATAAAACTAAATCCGTAATTAAAAATGAAAGTATTGATTAAATAAAAATTAATTAAAAACAAATATTAAATATTATTACAAGTAAACGAATAACATACATAATATTATCTACATAATAAAATATAAATATTATTTTTAAACATAATAGTTAAAATCAACTAATGTTTGAGTACTTGTTTAAATAAATAGAGTTTTCAACTCATTTGATATTTTATTAACAATGTTGATTATAAAAAATGTTTAGAAATGTATTACTCAATTGTCTTATTATTTGTGAAAATAAAACATATAGAAACTATAAAAACAATGTTCACATAAGACGAACAAAAATAACACCGAGATTAACGTTAAATATTATCTTGACAAAATATAAACTTCAAATATGAATACTAATAAATTTACGTACATATTAGAAAGTAATAATCTATTTAAACTATAGTAACATTCAATTTAATCCAAAAACACGCAGTATTATAAATATTACGGATGCTTATTAAAAATAATAATACCTGAAACTTTAAAATATTTTGTTAACAGTTACCTTAATGCGTTTAAATCCTTATGACTGTATTAATTATATTATTAAAAAATAAATATATTTAAATATAATCGGTAAAGCTTAAAAAAAATATATATAAAATGATATTAATAAGGCAAGTATTGTTTAACATGATAATGATGAATTTTTGGTAATACGTTAAATTATCCTTTGGAAATATAAAGTTATATTTTAAAATACTTGTAGTGGATGGAAATGCCTAATTATATTCTTTACTTTTAAAATATTTATCGACTAAATAATTGCTAAATTTTTTCCGCAGGCCTTATTATTCTGCAATTTTAAGAGTTTCTACATCTAATAAACTATCTGTTTTTTGTTTCGTCGTATCGATTGATTCTCCTCGTATCCTATGAACATAGGTTTTAATTATTTTTGTTGACTGATTCTAATCTCTTCCCTACGTGCATCAAAGTTATTAATTAATAATCCTGGTTGGAATTTATCTGTACGTTATAACCAAGATATAAGTGTAACATGTAAGATTTATAATACTGGTATGAAATAGGATAGACATCTAACATTTTAAATAATAATATTGAATAAAGAATACATTTTTTTAAATGAATCGAAAAGTATTATACAAACTCAAATATATACTATTAAGTATCGAGTTTAAAAATTCAACGAATAGAAAATAATAAAAAAGTAAAACATTTTTTTTTCTCGTACTATTAATACACCAAAATAAAGAAATTATTTTGGATAATTATTTTCCAATTGCAATTTACTTAAATGAGTATCAAATTATTACATGTCAAAATATTATATAAATATTATAGTCACATAATAATATAAAAATTATACATATATTATAATATTCTATATTTTAATAATTTTAAACAACCATTTTTTTCTCAAATTGCTTAGTTAACATCTTAAGAATTCATATCATGTAAGATTGTTCAACAATTATTTAAGTAATTATTTTTATATTCTTTTTCCGTGATGTTTAAATGTTAAAAGCAAAAATACATAAATTTAGTTACTTTAAAATGATGAGAAATTAATGGATTTAAAAATCCAAAACAATTCTTAATCTATGGCATGCAACTAAAACATTATGAAGGCTAAACTAAGACGTTCAATTATAATTTTAAAAAAGTATCTTTAGAAAAAATATACAAAAACGTCAATTATATATTTCAATTCATCTAAATCATTATTTTATTTATACAAAGATTTAAATAAAAAAGCAATTTGTTATACTTAAGAGTTAGATGACTTTTTCTTAGATATAAAAAATATAATGCACTTAAAAATATGTTCAGATTTACAAACTTATAAACATTTTGATAAGTGACAAACATTTATAAGTTATATAGTACAGTATATTATCAAAAAAGTGTTGGCAATTTGATTACTCTTAACCATAATTTATAATATCCAAATATTACAATATGCTACATCATACTTCATTTAAAATGTAGTAAGTACAGAATTTTCACAACTCATTTGATTTTCATCAATATTTAAGTAGGTATTTATTTTCATTTATTTTTAAAATACATTTTACTAAGTAGTATCGTCTAAAATTCTCTTTTTTAATTTCTCTCTATATGATATGTTTAGGATACTTTTTAATAATACATTTTTATTTTTAATTATATATTATAATTTTAATAACATTGTTAAGTTGTACTTCTCAAATAAATACTTATTCTTATTTTAAACATAATTTTGGTATAAAATATTAATTTTTTTCTGTTTAAAGAAGAAAATTAATTAAATTACTTCAAATAATCTTTATAAAAACGTGAAATTCTTTATTTTTGTTACTCCTTTTTTAGTTTATTCAGTTTTAGTTCAAAGATAAAAATACATGCATCTTAACTTTATATTCAAGTGTTCTCAAAAATTAATTAAATAATAATAATTTGGTTTACCACAGTCAAATATCACTTAAAATTTTGTGAAAAGGTCTACGCATAATGATTACCAGAAATATTACATTATTTAATATTATTGATGTATTTGTGCATTTAAAAACAACAATAAAATAATAAACTATACGTTACTGTCAGAAATACATGATAAATATGAAAATAACCACTAACCGTATACAGACAACAAAATTCTAAAGTTAATGAATAAAGATTTCTATTGTATTATTTAATCATAGACAAAATATAATTTAAATTATGATAATATAATACAAGACATTTACGAAATCACGATTTCTAATAAACCGACAACGTTACAACCGCTTTGACTTAAAATCATATGGCCACCGTTATAAGTACTGAAAATAATTTTGCTAATGACTATACTCTTATTAAAAATAAATAAGTCTTTTATTACTGAGCCATCATAATTAGTTAAAATAAATATTTTTCTACTTTTTAAGTTAATTATTATAGTTATTAATTTCAAAGAATAATTTATCATACAGGTTTTTAAATGTATTTTTTTATCGAGTATCAGATTTTTTTTTTCTTTCAATTTATTGTTATTATCTAAATAACTTAATAGCACACACTACATGTTAAATACATATAAACATAAATCATATAAAATGGTTGATTGCACTTTTGAGATGCCGAAAACGTCTTGTAATCGCCATAAATATATTTTTTTTTATTTTAGTAATAAGTTTATTAAAAATTAGCGAGCATAATATTGAAATAAATATTTTAATTCAAAACTACATGAATAACAAAGTATATGTAATATATCTAATATCGAATCAAATAAAAAAAGCTCAAATAATTGAACTCCTATAACAATTCGAAAATCATTAATATCAAACACTACGAGGGAGCTTATGTGTTTCGATGTTGATATTACCAAAGGTCAGTGACTCTCCGCCGCCTCACTCTTATCCTCAAACGAGAACCTTCGAGCGCGTAAATAATGAGAGGTACACACGCATGTGAGTACATGACGAATAACACGTTTTATTGTTTATCATCGCTTACGACAATAATTATCTGACGAGTAGTTAGTTGTACAATGACGTCAATGTTGTATTTAAATACGATGGAGACGACTTACCGTAAAACGGGTGCGAGTCTCCGGGACGGTTGGTCGACAGGCGCCCACGTGTTTGTATGTTGTGGTGCAATAATATTACAAAATATTATCAACAATATTGTTGTTATTGTTACGGCGGCGGATACGCGTGTGACAGTGAACCGGCGGCGACGTGATAACGTGTTGCGAGGCGGCGGCGGCGGCGGCAATGACGGCGGCAGCGGTGTGTTTGGCCCGGAGCCGAATTAAAGAATGCGGAGCGCGTGCATCGGGTCCGCGGCGACTTGTCGTCGAGCAGCCGCCGTTTCCTGGCCGCCCATTTCCACCCCGCCAGCCCATCGGCGATCGCGAATCACGTTCGGTCTCTTGACGACGCCGCCGCGCGGGTTAATAATATTCTTCTTATTCGGCGGTACCTAAACCGGCGTGCCGGTAGTGGTCCTCCTGTTGCTCCTGTCGCCACCGCCACAGAAGTCACGAAAAAAAAAATCACTCTTCGTCCCGAACAACACACGTACGCACGCACACGCGCGAGCGTGCGACTCCTGTAACCGAGAAAATATTTAAAAAATTAATTTACCACTCGCTAAAATTGCGGTGTAGTAGCCACCCGACCGTAACAGGAGATGGTACTTGCGACGTGTGGGTGCGTACAAATTGTAAAGTTAATACGAAAATCGAAAAATGGTTTTCTTACAAAACAATAGCAGACTGTAACGAGCCGTGAGGTTTACTACCATACACGTACACAAGTTGTAACATGTTGCAGTCATACGACGCAGTCTAATAAATAAGGATTAGAAGTAATATCGCGTTTATTATCTGCAAAACGCGTTCAGTTATTTGCATTAATATAGTTAATGTTTATTAGTAAACACTGCTTATATACCTGTAACGCCTTATCGAGGTCTATTTCCGATTATCGGATCACCGTTTTATCTCAACTGTAGTGTAGCAACGGGGGGTACATCAAGCTTTATGCATTTCACAATGCTTGGTTTCACCTGACATCGGAAGTAAACGACGTAGTCAGTTGTAGAAGGTAGAATCACCATTCTCGCAAAACGCTTATTTTTGTCAAAGTTTTATTACCGATTGTTCGTCATCGTTTTCTATAAAAATAAATTATCAAACGTATTTTAGTCTATTAACTGGTCGACTCGAATATTTTTTATCTAATTTATATACTTATTAACACTGCTAAGTTGTTATCGAAAGCTGACCTTAATTTTACAAAATTGTTTTAATACAGCAATAGAATAATCAATCAATTCGCAACACCATTATTTTTCATATTATATAGGTAGCGTGTCAATTATCACTGTACATTATTATACACAATACATGACATCAACGTGAGTCAGCTTCCACCACAATGCTGAAGTATGTTTATTCACATCCGTTAGCTGGCGCGTCGAGTATGCAATTTCATTACATTTGCGTGTAGGGTTTTTTTCAAAAAATATGTCGAGAGTCTGTCATCGGTAAACACATTTAATATGGAGAAATTTTCTTACGACGACAATAGAAGGTTAGATGCCAATCATTCATGTAGACACTTTTTTAAAACTATTTCAGTTAATAACGAGTGATAAAAAATTTGCAACAACGGAGCATCTTTCGTAGCAATACTCACCTACCACAGTATTCATAATGAATCTGTCTAGTCACCGTCATAAATTCAGTATTTACATGATAAATCTAATTCCTATTTTATTAGTTTAATTTACTGACAAAAATCGTTTAAAGTATTAGTTAAAACATAATTACAATCCTCAAAACTATTTACAGAAATAAACTGTCTACGGATTACAACATAACAAGTTTTGATATGATCGCTGTAGAATTGACAAAATACTGACTTCTTTGATTTTAAGATACGTTATGTTATACACAAACTTACCAGTATCATTGATATCATATAAATTCTAATTAAAACTGCTAAATTAAAAAAACAAAATAATAACATTTATTAAATTACACGATGTGCGATGACTGACAGAGATGGCTTTTTCTTAGTTTTATCATAATTTATAATTGTTTTTAATTAATATAAGTGCTAACTAATTACAATCGGTTATTAAAATGCTTTTAATACGTTAAAATCCGGTAAATTAAATGCATTTATTTTTAATAACAAAGTCTTATTTAGATTTGGAATTTTACAGCAGATTATACCTAATACATAGTTTTAATATATATTTGGTTTAAAAAATATTCACGTTAATTGATTATTTCGTCCAATATTTTACCGGTAATTACTTAAGAAATATCAAAAATTGGTTTCTAAACTTTTTTGCCTCTGCAGGTGTCGTACATATTATGCTAAACCTAGCTTAATCTTTATGATTATCATTTTTTTTTGTAATTCGTTTGATAAAAAATACACTTTAAATAGATATCTTAATTGAAAATTTTATATGCTTTACGTTTATATTCATTTTAATTATTTTTGTTGTAATATAATATAATATATAAATATATATATATATATATATATATATATACAGATAATTTGTACACGATACTTATATAGTAGTAACATATTGCATATGATACGGCGTTAGGATATTGAAAATACATTTCTACTATTCAACATCACGTCAATATACTTCAGTATAATAAAATCTTCTTTTCGATGTATAACAAAAACATTATCTACGAAAGAATTTTTATAACTAAAGTGTTTGAATGTTACATTTTAATAATACTATCTATTTTTATACTCATAAAATTCTATAAGTCACAACAGTTTTTGTCACAAAAATTTTAAATCCCAATTATACAAATAATTAGATTCTTAATTAATTAGTTCTTCAAAGTTTTCAAGTTGACTTTATAATAATACTGTAGAATAAAAAATAATATTATACTAGTTCACTATAATATTATTAGAGTAACGTAAGTCACATAAGTCCAGCCTTATCACGTTAAAGTTGTGATTTCGTGTAAAATAATAAGATCAGTCTTACTTAAACATAGCTTATAAATATTTTAATCGATATAAAAACGTTTAATTCCAAAGAGTCAACTGCAGCAGGTTACATATACCGTATACTGAATCATATGCGTAGTGAGTAAAATTTGAAAATTATGTGCTAACAATCGTGTATCATAACATTAAAAATAGTATTTATTATTTTTACTGTCGAAAAACGCTTGTAATATTAAATTTAATTTGATAACATAAAAACAAATATAAAATCCATATATTATGTTAATCTTTTAGAATAATGGTTTACGTAAAAATAATTTATTTTATTTACTCCTGTAATAAGTTATTTTAAAAAAATTCTTATTCTATTGAAAAAATCCATAATAATATAAATGTCTAATGAATAATATGTCGTTTTTTATATAGTATAATTTGAATAATAGTATGGTGGTAGTTTACAAGATTTGTTTCAAAAAGACAGGTAAAATAAATAATTTTATAAACCTACCATCAATGTATTTTTGTATTAGACTCACGCTAGTAGAAAAAAATAAACTACCATAATTCCCATGAATGTAATTTCAGTAAATTATTTAAAATTAATTTTTTCATTAACCAGAAAGTAACGACAATTTCCAAGAAGATGTGAGATTTCTCGCTTTTATTTATAGATTTGACGGCACCGATCTTTTACTCGTACTGTAGAATTCATATTTTACAAATAAGTAGTTATTATTAAATATAATATTACATAACAATTATTAATAATAAAATATAACTTTACATTTTAATGCATCCAATTATTTACATTCATTTTGGTGGATAATAAAGTATAGAACGATAGTTTTTAATATAAAATATCTGTTCCGTGAGTTAATTTAATTGTACAATGATGAAAATAATAATAATTATAAAAAAAAACAAATTAAGAGTGAATGTAAAATTTATATGCAAATAATGTATCTATAATCTAGGATATTATAACTATATACCTGTCCAGGACGGGAGCATATTCTAATAATACGCAACTACTTGTTGCCTAATACTTGTATTTGCGCACCTAACTACTACACCAGCCGACCTATGTAAATTTAAATGTAATGTATTTTTAATGTGAATTTCTCAATCAGTAGTGGTTGGAAACGCCAAAAAAATACCAATAAATTATTTTCTGTAAGGTGAGTTTGCATTTATGTTTATGTGTGGTTGTGTGTACAAGGTAACTCAATTAATAAGTAGTAACTTTGCTAGTTATAAACTAAAAAAATATAGCTGCAATAATATAATACACAACAACATGAATATATAAAAAAAATATCCAACTGATCCAACAATTAAAAATCAATAATAACTAATAATTGCATATTTGGCAAAATCAATGTATGTATAAATAGTAAAAAACAACTACTTGAAATCTACGTAATAGTTTTCACACTCACACAACACAAATAAAACGTCTATTACAACCTAAAAAATATTAAAAACTGGCTATCTGAACCAGGCCAATACTTATAATAATGATAACACAGTTATTCAATGCTCTGCATGGTCCGTAATATATCTATTATACTAATAACATTTTAGTACAGTGGAACCTCGATAACTCGAACTTCTATAAGTCGAATTTTCGATAACTCAAATTTTTTTTTTCACCCCCAACCGATTCGAGTTATCGAGGTTCCACTGTATTAATTTATTACAAAACCGTATTCATATTATTATTTATTTGTTTCTTATTGCGGCAAACAAAGTATTATACTGACATGTGAATGTGGTACAATTAATGAATATATATATATATATATATATAGTTAGTTAACCAAATCGAAATGACATGAAACCCTTTAAAAAATACTATTAATATTTTTTTTTATACAGTAAAAATATTATGTGTTTTCGTTTTTTAGTCGGAAGACAATATTCAATAAATATACTCCATCTTTCCATAAACGCCTATAAGTGTATAGTTGTTGAATAAACCCGTAAATCTCAGGATACCCGCCCCCACCCAACGTTTTAATAATTGCCAGACCTACGAGCACACCAAAAGTTTCTGCAGTTTCTCCAAGCGCAGTTGTATGAAATGCGAGAAGAGAAATCTAACCTTTGGAATCGCCCACCTAATGTGCTTTTTGCTTCGACGCCCATTCATTACATTACTAAAGCCTGTCCAATTTACACAGGCAAGTGGTTAAGAAAACGACAATTCATACCCGAAAACCATCAAAACTACCAGATCAATCGTTTAATTCAAAACTTCCTATTGCTAATTTATACCTACCACGTATGCAGCAATAACAAAATACATAAAATATAAACTTAAAAAAGATTTACCAAACACATTCTATTGACAATAATATTTTAATCATATTTAATATTAATTTAAAACTTTAACATTATGAATAATTGGCATTCAGTTGGGTCAAAAATTTAGTATTAAAAAATAAGTTTATCATACCATGTATGATTTTTTATTTTCATTTTATTTATTTTGAAAATAATTAAAGCTGAAAATATTCTTTTTTATGATTCCAATGCCATTAAAAGTGATAATCATAAAAAAATAAAAATATTTTAAATTAATTTTTTCTATAAAATAATATTTTGTTATAATGCAATCACAATTAATAAGAACCGTATTTATTTTTTTTAAACTTTAGACAGATAAAATTCGATATATATTTAAATTTAAGAAAAAAAATATGAACAATTAGATCTAAATTATATATTTTTAGAATCAATAGTATATCATTTATAAATAATGTTGAATACATTTTTATTTTCGCTTATGAACATAATAATATAGTATTATAATACTATCGTATTCATTAGTAGTTTAAATTTTAAGTAAAAACACGAGACTCTTAATTTTAGGATCATAAGTTCAAAGTTCAAACCACAAATTTGCACTACGTTGTTATAAGCGCCAATTATTATCAACGATTACTAATAAAATGAAATATATACAATTAAAATAAAATAATTTATTACTATTTTGGTCTTCAATAATCATAAAACAATATAATTGTCAAAGAATCAATTTTTTACACACCTATATCTCTGATGTATTATAACTTAACTTAGTTTTTTTAGTTGCAACAACATTTTTTTTTTTTATCTTACTAAAGACTTAAATTCAAAAATATCGTTATAAATTACGAAAATAATTTCTTAACC